CAGGCACTGTTTCATGTATAGTTAAAATGGAGTCCAAGCAAAGAAATTGTATATTTACCCGTAACAACAATTTCAATAATGGGCCGTTAACAGTTCAACTCGCTGCGTGAAATTCACAATTTCAACGTCCCAGCTGTCACTGCCTAAATGTCCGATTGCTCTAGCCTTACTTTATTCCCGTTGGACAGAAATAGGTAGAAGTTCGAACCATTGGAATTCCAATCTGCGACCTAAAATTAATAGTTGACGTAGTAACCACTAGCCCACTGCTTACAATGTAATTTGATTTCTGTTAGAATTTCGTTGATGTCATTCTTGTCGCTGGAATCTTTAATAATGATTTGTTTATTAAGTTTCTGTAGAATATTTGGGGTTGGGGAAAATTTTTTGGCCCCTTAGGAAAATACCTAATATGGAAATATCTGTTAAACGAATATTTTTGTATCATAAATTTATATTAAAATCATATCATATCGTAATATCGTAAAGGATCATTGAGAGCACATTGTAATGGCTCGAAATTCAAAAAAGGATGAATAATTTAGATTTACAAGCAAAAGAAAAAAAAAACTCCTAAAATGTCCTAAAATGTTTATAATAGTATTCACATGGAATTTCAGTACATCACAAAAATACGCAAAATCGAAGTATGGTCTGTGTTTCTTAGCCATTCATACGTTCTACTCTTGGCTATGCTTACTATATCTGTTATATGGCAACAATTTCTTTAAATATTAGATTGTTTTTAAATAATATTCGTGACGAATTATGTAAGATCGATGTTTCGCCCACGGCCAGTTATTGGTACTCTATAATCAACAAAGTCCAAGGTCTAGGCCGGAAAACTTCCACGACAGCCTTGAATTATATTATTCTTACTTATATTGTTGCATTATTATTTGTTTATCTAAATTTTTGTCTTAATGTTCGTAAATATTCTGAATGTTATCTGACATAAGTATGATACTTAAATGTGAATTATCTATATATATTATATTAGCAAGCATTGGTCGATTGTTAAACTTTGCTTTTAGTAAATGGTAAAGAGATTATTTTTAATCTCAGCAATTCTCAAAACAAACCAGGACTCATAAAGTTTTTGTATTTCATTTTTTGTTTCAAACTTTTTGTTTGTTCTTGAATAATAAAAAATAATTAAGGTGACAATACGTATAATCAACAATGATTTAAAAAGTATTTTATTTATAACATCGGTATCAAACAAATTCTAAATTTAGAATTTTACTTAAATCCGGTTTTTTATCTTTTGACAGGGACTGTTTGAAAGTTTAATGACGAGTAGAGTCCGCTCTACTTTCTATGTGCTCTTGCACCCAATTCGTTTAGTTTTCTCTTCAAATTCTGCATGCTCAGCATGGGGACAGCATGCATCAATGTAAGATTAACAAAATTATTATTTAAATATCGGCCAACCTTCAATCTATTTCTATTTATTCTTTTCTTTCTTCTATTTATTCTTTGTTACGTACGGTTACTGATATGGAACCCCTAAGGGAAGTACAGTAGCTTTGTTGTATTTGCATTCTCCATATGACGATAAAACCGGTCAAGTACGTGTCGGACTTTCGCAGGTTTCCGTACATGAAGGGGAACCCATCGTACATTATCTATAAAAACAGCAAAAAAATAATGTCTATTGTATGGGAGCCCCACATAAATATTTTTTATTCTGTGTTTCAATATATTTTGTTACAGTGGCTACAGAAATACATCCGTGAAAATTTCAACTGTCTAGCTATCACAGTTCATGAGATATAGCCTGGTGATAGACGGACAGACAGAGAGATAGACAGCGGAGTCTTAGTAATAGGGTCCCGTTTTACCCTTTGACTACGGAACTCTGAAAGCCACATATAGTAATGCTAAAAAGTAAAATGAAATTAAAACATTAATGCATAAAGTATTAGGTTAAAGTAACTTGTACAGTTTTAGAATTATGTTATAATAACAATATAGCGAATTTTAAGCGCTTCTATTTAATGTCTCTTACTTGAGGATAAAGTAAGACCTTTACTTTTGGAAAAAAAAAATATTTTTACGCCTTAGATTTTTAGCCGCAACTATTTACTCACTATTGATTAAGACCAAGTCCACATCCTTTCATTTTTATGGTAGAGCTAACTTTTAGCAATTTTATACTTTTGTAATCATTATTAATAACTATGCATTTAGCATGATTGCAAATTGTTGTTGTGTTCATTAATTAATTCGGCATTTCGTCAAAAGGGCATATACTTTGTAATTAACTAATTTGTTTGACATTTTTTTATTTTAACTATCTTGGAATTAGAACAAGAAATAATCGGGTCTCTTTTAATAACTATTCAATAGGAATTTGTTCATGAAATAGATATTTAGTAACATATTTTACCGAAGAAGGTAAGTTAGGGCGTTTTAGTAACAAGGGCCCTATGGCTAGACACACGTGAATAGACGACAAAACCATACAGATTGTCATAAATTTTCCTTAATGAAATGATTTGTTCTTAAATGTGCTGTTGATATTAGACGAGCAGTAACTATGATTCGTAGTTTTAATGACAAAATTTCACCAGTGGATATAGAATTGTGTAAGTAATTGTGTTGCGTTTGCACAAAAATTTTAGAAAGCTTGCATTCACGAGGTAATAGTACGAAATAGAGTGTGATAATAGTGCATTGGTATGGATTATCTTAGTAACATTATAGTTGGGGCGATTTTTCGTCAATTGATACTGACTGTAGTTCTCACTTTCATAGTCAACGGTAATCTGTTCCATACGATTATTTTGTAGCACCGTTACTGCAGTGTCAACTTTCCGATCTCATGAGATTTCCATTTATAGGATTGTTGGATTTTCAAAGCTAGTTTATTACTTATTAGGAATATTAAAGTTAAGGTCATTCAGATATTTTTTTTTGAATGCAAACAAAAGATTTAAAGGAAATTAAAAGGAGCCGCGTAGTCAGGATACCTAGTTATTTGGACTATGAGAGTATTAATTCTTATTATTTTTGTAATTAGTATGTTAATGAAGCTCAGTACAATCTGGTTAAATAATTAAAATGAAATATTTTAATTACATTGGGAGAACTGACTCAGACTGATGATACTCCTTCTTGTAAAAAGAAAAAGTAAGTAGAGTAGTAAAGTAAGTAGAAAAAGAAGTATTAAATTAGAGGGACTCGTCTAGGCACTTGAAAACTTTTTGTTGTTTAATGTTTCAATTAACACACAAAACATTCAGAGCTGTCATATTACAGCCCGTTAATTAATCAATTAATTAATGTTACTTTAATTTTTTTACGTGAAACGTTGCCAAGCAAGCAGGTGATTCACCGGTGATTACCGCTTCACGGAAATTAACAACACCTTAAATGTTGCTACTACCACCGGCCATAACTTATGCGTTCTTATGTGAAACCCGTGTTTTGTCTTAAACGAGCCCGCCATTTCGTACAACAGTTGTAGTTGCTGCGTGGCCCACTACTGTACTTTAGAATAACTAACCACTGTACTATAAAATAACTAACCACTGTACTATAGAATAACTAACCATATAAAGTCGTAAGGATTGAAAAGTGTTTTCTTGTCTCGACTAAAATGGGAACGAACGGTTGTCTGGTGCTTTTAGGAACTCTACCTACTATATTATGTTTCTGAAATTGTTCGATTCCAATTCATAGCGCAAGAGCTGTATTATGATGATACCAAACCTTTCTTTCTTTACCTGTTCAGCAGGACACAGGGTTTTTACTATGATGTGACCACACAACAGTTTTTGGTGTTGCACAAATGGGCAGGTCCATCCGGGTAAGTAACACGTCCTCACAGAAGACCGGTGTTAAGTGACGCTGTTATACTTCTGCGTTTCATCTGGTAAGCACCGGGCCCAATTTATTAAAAATTGCAATATATTTGCAACCCTATGGGTATTGCAATTTCAATACGCGGTGGCGGTTATCGCTTATCATTAGGTGAACCGCTAGCTTAATTGACATCTTCCAACATAAAAAAAGCAAAGCATATGAATATTAATATGGAAAAGTCATCAAAATACAAGTTTGTAAATAAACATGAAATTTGCACTTAATGCGAAATATTTTATATTGAATTAGTAATATGTAATATAGATATTGGGAATGTACCAAGTTTTGAACAGTACCTTATTGCTTTTAAAAAATATTTATATAGTTAAATATAAAACAATAAAATCAAGCAATTATACCGACTATATATTACCGACAAAAATTCGGTATTAGTATTATGGATTGATGTGATTTAAGTCTAAATAACTAGTTGTACGTTAGATAAAATCTGCAGATAAAATGACTATATCGGAGCATAATGATTTTGAAAAATTTATACAATAGACCTGTGATTTTAGTCTAACGTACTAGTTGTACGTTAGATAAACTCTCCAGATAAAATAACGATATCGGAGCATAATCTTCTTGAAAAAGGCACAAAAATTTTCGTTATAATAGACACGTGATTTATGTCTAACGTACTATTTGTACGTTAGATAAAATCTAAAGATAAAATAACGATTCCGGAACATAATGGTTTAGCTTATCACCTGTCAAACGTCAAAGACCACGTGCTACGGAAACACCCGAACGCGAGCCGAAGTCTAGCGAACGTGAACCTAAATAGTTTGAGGCAAACGCAGCGGACCACCGCACTTTGAAACGGTCGGCGCGCATAAGTGCGTGAGACACTGAATTTGTTGCCAAATGTAATCCTATAAACAATACACAGTAGCATACACTGATCGTGTAGTTTATTCGCTCTATACGGTAAATTAAATTTTGTGATAGTTTCAACAACGATGAAAGCCTTAAAATATAAGGCAGAATTAAAACTATGTAGAGTACAGGTACATTAGAGGAAAACTAAATTATGTAGAGTCGTTCCGCATCCGTTATTAGTCTGGGGCATTCGCAATATACATTAATTTGTAATATTATTGATAATATTATGATTGTTACGTCCGTACCTGTTCCCCACCAGTATTTCTTCCAACCGATCGACACTGCGCGGAACATGGCGTTACGTGCGACGCCGACAGCGCGTGGCGGCCAACTGACTCACATTTCCGATGTAAACTCACAGACCTTAAAAATTAAATTTCAAGTTTCTAGATATCATTATTTTCGAAATTCAAACAGACCTAAACCCTAGTTGTGTTTTTTCTACCTACATTGAGTACACTTGCAATCTAGTAGAGAAGTTAATGAGACGCTTATAATGAAATTCAGTTTGATGGTAGAGTCTTTGGGTGGTAGGAAGCGCCATAGGGCTCTTCGTACCCTTGCACCCTGATTCAATTAATCTCTAATTAGAAGCGAGAGTGCTCTTAATGTTGAGCAGAGGTGGATTTCACGTCGCTCTCGTTGAAGTAAATGGAAATCTGACAGTTCGATGGGTGTTAGCTTAGATGATATTTGGGTCAACAAAGTACCTGACGGCTTATTCAGGTAGGAGTTTATTTATTAATTAAAATTTATTTTGGAATGTATTTTTGTCGTATATTTTTTATTTAGCGAAAGGACGTACCTGTTCATATTTTTAAATAACCTCAGGAATAAAATGCGGATATGCAATTTATTTGCTAAAAAGCAGAAAAAGATTTGACTCGCTAAAAGGCTTGTGTGTCATGGGTTCGACTCACGCTGAGGACACGTAATTGCATGGGTTTCTAATGTTTTTTTTGGGTTTTATTATTAATTTTGAATTTGTATTTGTTGTAGCATGTCTTCAACATAGAAAACCCTTTATGTCTACGTTTAGCTGTAGGTCTTTTAAATTATAAAAACCTTTTAGTTATGCTAAATGCTACTTTGCCCTATATTCATTCAAATGTAAACCCTTATATTTCTGATGAACAAAATAGTCTCGTCCATGAAATAAATTGCTTCTCAGTGTAATGCCTCCACAGTTTCAATATACAATAAAATGGTTCATTTAAAATAAACGTTTTGTATATTAAATTCTTGTTATAAAATTCAATATGGGAGTAACTAAAAGTGGCATATATGCATTTTCAGTTGGGTAATGTTCAAGTTATGCTGTTTTCATCGATCACAGGGTGGACAAGAACGACTGTGGCACCTTGCTTTGTTTTTTTTTATTAAATGTAACAACCGATTTTTCGAAAAAATAACAAAACATATTTTAAAGATATGTGAAATCCGCTAATCCGGAGAGGGATCGCGTGGTGGACTATGTTCTAATCTAAACCTCTGTACAGGCCGGAGGCCTTTGCCCAACAGTGGAATATGATATAAAAGACAAGAGTATGTATCAGCCTATATTTCTTGCACCGGAGGGTGAGGGTTCAATGTTGGGATGGGGAAAAATGTTGTGTGATGAACATCGCGTTTTTACAGTGTCTGGGTGTTTATATATGTATACTATGTATTGATTTACCAAAGAAAAGTATGTTAAAGTATGTTTATCAGTTTTCTAATACCGATAGTATAAGCGTTGCTTAGTTTGGGACTAGAGAACGTTGTTTAAAAATGTGTCCGCAAATATTTATTTATTTATTATTTATAAGCTGTTTCCTTACTCTTAATTTTTTACTCTTTTGAACCTTAAGTCATTAACCCCACAGAGATTGGTGCTTGGTAACAAAAGACTATGAAGAAGACCCAGAAATATTTCAGCGTCGATCACTGAATTAGGTATCGGCAGAGAGTCAACCCGGCTTATTTTATGCTTGGATTTGGGCCTACATTGTATGAAGCTGGACGGTTATAGATATCACCGTAATTTTGATAATTGTGTATGTTGTTTTGATAAATTGGAATTGTTGGCCGGATATCAGGATTTTGGGCAAATTCTCATATTCCCGGACGAACTTATAATTTGTGGTGGGGCCACGGAAGAGTCTTCTCTGTTGCACGAATGAGTTGGTCTTCTGTGTTTAGTCTGATAAGTGGAGTCCACTTTATTAAAAGGTACCACCTTCTAACAAAGTGGACCCCATTATACACGCAGCAAGCCTTCGCGTGAAATTTCGATGGGCGGCGGTTATCATTAAACATCAGTTGAATCACCAGCTCATTTGCGACTTTCTCACATAAAAATGAAGCCCATTTTTCCTCAGCGGCTTCTACGCTGACGAGCCAAACTCTTAGCACGAGCTTAAGGCCAATATTCGAGATGCTATTGCCGGAATACCTCAACACTTATTGTATCAGGTCATCAAGAATTCGACCGAACCAACGGAGCGGAGGCCGCTTTCTTGAAATATGTGCATATACTTATATTGTCATAAAAGTAGCTACAAAATAAAACCAAAATAAATTTGATGTCTCGCACCATTGTTGTTTTATTAAAAGTTATTTTCCTGTTGTTCTTATCCGGTGACCACATGTGTTATTTGCAGATGCCCTTAAAACAATAGGCAAATACAATCAATATTTATATTGTATTATACATTAGGAGTGTAGTCAATTCATTTCCTATCTAATCAAGGATTGCAAGTGATTTCTTCTGTATATGCCTTAGAAATATTTAAACTTACGAACATATGGTTAACTGATATGAATAGGAGCTATGGTACTTAATAACAATTGAAAGATGGTTAGGCATAATCTTATCATTTAAACGAGTTTTATCCTTTAAACGAGCAATCGTATATATATATATATATATATATAAGTATATACCTATATATATGATTGGATTACGAAACGGCTCCATCGATTTTCATGTAATTCAGTATGTGCGTAGATTCGGGGGCGAAAAATCGATCTGACTAGGTTTCATTTTTAGAAAATGTCGTTTTATCCCAGTTTTCAGGGAATGAAAGATATTATTCGAATACGACGGTAAATTTGACCGAAAAAAAAGTTATAATAGCTCGGCCGGTAATCGGGAGGCCGCTAACAAACAGCCACGAAACAGAAGGCCGTGGTTCGTATCACGATCATTTACACTTTTATTTTTTTACTTTTTTTTCGATTCCAGATCATTGCTTTCTTTATCTTTTATTTTTTTGTCGATTTGTTATTTATTTATTTTTTTCCCTTTTTTTAGTTCCTTTTTTTTGTGAAAAACACCAGTTCATATTTTTTTATTATTACGTCGGTAAGATCGAAACATATTATGCATATTTTATTACTTAGTAATTTGTATCTAAATGTAATTTCCAAAATAAACGAGTTTACCAAAAAAAAAAACAAACCTCCTCCTCCTCCAGGTACTTATTTATTTACGCGAACATTATTTACATTATCATATTTTATTTTAAATATAAAAATAACAACAGCTTTTATTGCAGATTATTTTATTTTACACACCCAACGTTTCGCATGCTTTACCGAATTCATGGTCACTGGCTCTGATGTTTGATGTCTTGAAAACTATTAATTTTATTCTTATCAACGCAGCTAACGGTAACATTATCATGAAGTCTGGCTGTGGCAGTGCCTTTGGGTCTGTATATTTACACACGGTAAGAGAAAGATGGCGGTGGGTCGCTATTTATATATCGGTTTGTGTGTGGATTGTGTCAAAGTGCTATTGGGATTGCGAATAACTAGAGCTTGTCTAGAAGAAATTATTGTGCCCTGGATTTGTCAAGGACATTTAGCCATGCCGGCACCAATGAAATTGTTAATTTTACGTGCTGACTTATCACGTGTTCAGCGGTGAAGGAAAATATTATGAGGAAACCTGCATATTTTCGAAATAATAACAGAAAATTATATCGAAAATATGTGAAGTACGCCAATCCGCATTGGGGCCGCGTGGGGGACTGTGCCCTGATACAGGGGAGGCATAGGCCGGTATATTACTTTATTATTGAAGTATTTATTTCTTTGGCTATTCGTGTGGGGAATGAGGCGATCGGCGCTCTTAGAGATTAACAAAGCTACTGCAACTCTATAGTTTCAAGAGAGAGGGTTTTCACTTAGCATCTAGTTTGTTTGTCACATTTATCATTAAAGAGAGACCATCCAAAAATACCAATGAAAACTAATTCTATTAAGTGGTCATGCATTTTAGGGAATTTTGTAGAAACCGCACGATGGTGTACTAAGGAATAAAGGTGGTGTCGACGGTATAAGGCGGTTAGTGGCATTGTACGGTGGTGAAATTCAGCAACGGTTCATCGATCGAGTCAAAGGCCTCGAGAGAGTCTGTTCAGTTAAAGTGATTAAATTAGTTGCTATTTAATACAGAAGTTCATATGGTAATTGTTCTTCGATTTAAATAAAAAAATACATATTGCATTAGGAGGAACATTAAAATCAAGGCTGCAAGAAACTTTCTAATTATTTACCTATGCAAATTAATTGATAATTAAGTTTTAGATACAAATAATTTTTTTTCGATACGTACAAATTAATACTTCTTACTTCATAAAGGTAATCTTTAATCAAGTAAGAAGATATAATGTCAACTTAGTTCTTGATTGAAATTGAACCCTATTGTTTATATTCCATTTCCCGTCTCTTTTGTAGCTAAATAGACGTGTTATCATTTAGCGTGCTTTTACGATCTCTAACGACTATCATTAGTGCAACTTAAGCACACCCTCAGCGTTCACTGAACACTTGCTATATAAAACGGAATATACAGTTGAGTGAAAATAGCTAAGTCCTTGTAACAAATAATCCTCTCCTCCTTACGTAATATACAACAATGTACCAATTGTTGTATATTACGTCTCTTAAATAGTAATTAAGTTTTGTTATATAATCAAGACTATCTATTCTTTTCACGGCAATTACTAAGTGAATTAATATATATACATTACTTTTGTTTTAACACTCCAATACATTTTTAACAAATTTTTTTTGCCACAAAAAATTCTAACGGATGTAGGATAGAAGTAATACCCTAAAGACCATTACATAAACGATATCTTGGTCGAACTTGTTATTTCGTTGTTAATTTTCTTAGTAAAGTTACAAACACCGCCTCCTTACTAATTACTCACGGGAGATTTAAGTTAAAATACACAATGTCTAGGCGACTATACAGAAAGACGGCTTTATCCTGGAGCGCTTGCTAATAATCGTACTATTTAGAATAACAACCCTTTTGCTATAACTGAAGGGGCTGAATAACATAATAATTTTATTGCTGGAATTATGCAAATTTTGGTTAGGTTACTTTAAACTGGTTAATTTGTTAACATCAACTAATATATACTATATAATTAACTTTGGTAGGGCCACGGTACAGTTTCGGCTGTTGCACGAATGGGCAGGTCTGTGCGGGTAAATACCACGACCTCACAGAAGACCGGCGTGAAGTGGAAGTGTTAAGTATCTGAGTTTCACCTGATGAGTGAGGTAGTCGAGGCCCTCTTTATTAATAGGTGGCAACGCATCTGCGACCATACGGGTGTTGTCCAACCAACCATACGTGCATAGTCGGCGGTTATCACTTAACATCAGGTGAACCACCAGCTCGTTTGTCACCTGCTCGCTTAAAAATGTCATTAGGGTGTAAGAACAAACAGAGATCAATAAATTCCTTTAGACTTCATTCTCCTTTAATATCTTTTAATTGTGTGAAAAAATAGAAGTTCTTATGTGATTTGCCGTTGATCAACTACAGCTAAAGTTCACATACAATCTTATTATTAAAAGCTCAGAGCTATAAGACGGGTAGTACATGCATAATGCATATGTTTGTACGGGCTTCAGTAACTTGGAGCTTACTTGATTTTGGCAACGATTCGAGCTTCTTACTGTTACAGTGTATCTAGCTTAATTACAGATAATCATTTACTTAATTACTTTGTCTACTATTAAGATTGGCACATACTCAGAAACAGAAGCCATTTTAGAAATCCTTCTTTAACATATAATATTTTTTCTACAGTCCCTTAAAAACTTTACATCGTTAATAGAAGTATTAGAAGTTTCTGGCTGTGCAATTTCACACATATACACTTATTCACATACACGCACACACACACATATTCTGTTCTTCTTTATTTTCATATTTTTGTATTATTTTAAGTTACTCCCCAACTGTTTTGCATTAAACATGTCATATCTGCAATAACGCTAAATTGTAAAAATGTCATGGTTCTACATGACATTCAGTCATTATTTACTTCTGTTTGCTACTGTATTACCCTGAATAAGCTCTCTGAAGTTAAGGCCTAGTGTCCTGTAATACAGGTTTTAATTACCTACCACAGGCACCAGCGATCCACAGCCAAAAATGTTATAACATAGCATAATATTTAGTATAATACATGAAATAAATGGTATGATCAAGATCACGGGCCTAAGCCAAGTGAGCTTCATCTTATGTTTCGGGTGAATTATTCAAGTCTTCCCGTAAAAAATTGCGTATATTATTATTATGTTGGGGATATTTCTTTGTTTTCTCGTCTGGTTGGCTTTATAGATAAAAAAATAAACATATAGATATATATTGCATATATAAAATAAATATTATGAGTAAAAATAAACATATAGATATAAATATTGTATACAATACATATATAAATAGGACCCAACCAGACGGAAGCCCTCGGCAGGGGAGACCAAACGGCCGAGGGTTAGGGTGAACGGGAGAGAAACCGGCGGACGATGCGGGCGGTATCGAGGAGCACCGCTTTCTGCATTAGAGCTTGGAGCGTTCCGTCCCGGAATTATTATTATTATACCAATAAAAAAAACACAAAAAAGTAAAAACAAACTAATAAAAAATAAAAGAAACGTTACGAAAACATACACGGTATGCTTAACACTGAAATTCCAAAACAATTAAAATGAAAAACAAATATGGCTGTATGGGCTTAGATCCTTTGCCTTTTCTTACCAGAGATAATATATCAAACACAACATAACATTAGATTACATAAAGTCATAAACATTTATACTGACTACGCCAAAACTACAGTGTTTAAAACAGGACACAACGTATTATTTTATAGTGATATGGAATATTACAGAAATTATATCTAGATAATGACAGAACTAAACACGAATTATACAATTAATTTGACGGTAAAAGTAAAAAAGACTACGAAACAAAGCAACGAACAGGATAACCTACCGTACTTACTACCGAAAAACGGATAAGAAGAGGCTCATGTTTGTTTTGTTGTTTGTTTTTTGACCGCGGATCGGAGTGTCCTCGGGTTGGCGCCTCTGGCCTGTCTGGACACCACAGAGGAAGCTTGTCCAGGGCCTACAGCAACTGCTACGTTCGGCGCAGATCTCTTCGATGTTGTGCCCGGCTCATCTCGTGGGGACACGGAGTCCGGAATCAGCTCCAGCTCAGCCATAGTAACCACACGGTGCCGAGATCCTCCTGGCGTTATAATGAAGATGCTCCCATCTGGGATGGGAGATGGGATGGATATTTTTATGTGAACAGTTGGTAATTCGGCAGGTTTTTAACTTGATATAAATTACTGTTCATGATCACGCTGGACATGGATAGCTACAACACTGGGCCGCTTGCAGGTGCGATGCCAATCATTAAAATAGTAGGTCGCGATTAACTCACTCACCAGTCGAAACGTGAAGGCCATGGTACTTCCTTGAACGAGTCTGCCCATTAAATTTATCAAGTAGCAAAAACTGCTCCGTAGTCTTATAGGTCAAAGAAATACTATTTGCAGAAATTGTTAAATTGAGAAGTTTACTTCTCAATTTAACAATTTGTTAATAATCTCAATAAATTAAATAATCAAATTAAAAAACCTCACTAAATGAGCTATCTAACAGTGCAAGAAGCACCAACGCACATACACACAGACAACGGTTTTAGCGACCATTGTTTTGGGTTCTATTGTGTTGATAAAGGGTTTAATAATAGTTTTTCTCAAATATCTTCCATGTACAAAGACAAGTTACATTTTTATTACCTATATGTATGATAGATATCTGTCTGTATCTGTCAGAATTTTTGGCTTTCACCTTATTCCACGCGGACGTAGTCGCGGGCAACAGCTAGTAACTAATATGTTTAAATCTCGACTCAAATCTCACGAACGCGAGATTTTAAATCAAATTTTATTTGATCTGATCGAAATTATTAATGTCTTTTTAAGGTTAAAAGTAAGTAAGTTACTATGTAGTGTTTTAATCTATCTTTGCCAATCAATCAATGCCAATAAAGCGAGGACGTTTCCACAGAGCCGCGTTGTTAAATTACTTGTAACGACTTTGTATTATTAGTAGTTTGTATTAATTAGAATTTCATAATTTATTTGCATGTTGTTGAGATTAATATCAACGTCTAACATTAAGTTTGATTGCAATATAATGTACAAAAAAATGCAAAAAGCTTATTTTAGGCCATTCATAGATGTTTTAATTTCAGAGATGCATTTCAGATTGTCTAGCAACGTTTCGGATTACCAAAGGTTTATGAGGTGTTATGTATTTATACGAAGCAATAATTTAACGTTGGTAGAGCTGCGTAAGCATAAGCTGGCCAGAATGGGTTATAACGCTCATACGGAAGATCAAAGTAATGTAGAAATGATCGGTAACTGGTAGCTCAAATGTTTAAGCTGACCAACCACCTTAAATGAAACCTCTTAATCTTTGTGTCCATCGATGGCTTTAACCAAAGTGAATTGTTTGTTAGTTTGCCGTTTTTTATAAAAACTGTGATTGTATATTTAAATTATGATGTGAACTAGCGACTCACCCGGCTTCGCACGGGTGTAATGTATTATACATATAAACCTTCCTCTTGAACCACTCTATCTAGTAAAAAACATGGCATCAAGATCCGTTGTGAAGTTTTAAATCTTTAAAGGATACATTGGGACAGACAGACAGCGGGATGACGCGTTGAAAACCTTTTGAAAATTGGGCTCCGGCTACCTCCTCACTCACCAGACGAAACGCAGAAGAGTAAAACTTCTATTTTACGCGCGTCTTCTGTGAGGTCGTGGTACTTACCCAGAGGGACCTGCCCATTCGTGGCTGTTGCGTGGCCCAATCATCGTAAAATGACATCATTATCATCATCTTTTTGAGTTCATGGAGAACATTGACTTTGGAGGCAAATGAGCAGGTGGGTCGTAAGTGTTCACCTCCGCCCAAGGAGACTCGGAATACCAGAAGAGTCACAAATACTTTGCCGGCTTTTGAGGAAGGAATTCTTCAAAAGAGAGACTCTCTTATTGAAGTTCCCTAAGTCATACCGGCCCAGAAATACCACTGGCGACTACTGATTTCACAACTTGCAAACTTGCAACTGGCAAAATTCAGTGGCAAGTATTAATCCGAACAACTCCTCACAGCACTCAACCTTGACACTCTAATCCGTGACAAAACTGGTGATCCTATTACATTATTTCTAAGGAGTTGAGGGTTGATAATGGCTTACCTATGAACTACCATAAAGCACGATCCTGATCCATTTGTATCTATCGACTCTCCGCGTACACATGTGGTTATTCCATCTAGTGTGGGTCGTCCTACACCACGGAATAGAGAAGACAGTAGAAGTGGTATTTACAGTCCCTTCCCTAGTACCGGACCCGCTGTCTCCAAACTCGAAAAAGTAATGCTTGTGTCGTATTTTGAACTACAAATGTATCTTAGTTGCTATTGGCATTAACTATCCAAAATATTCAAATTAATAGCAATTAACATTTATGTTAGGAAAGGATATAACAATAGATGCGCCAAGCACTGCTTCAAATGCTAAATAACAATGCTTCAATGTGGCTATCAGCCGTATAGCTCAGTGGCTAGAGCGTCAGGCCGCGAATGCCGAAGACGTGGGTTCGATTCTCACAGCGGCGAGAATCTTTTCGTACTTTTTCTACATGTTTTAATTTTACTGGAAAGTTTTTATCTATGAAATGATGTTTGTTACTCTTTTACGCCAATACTACTGAATGCATTTTAATGAAACTTTGCAATAATATAGCTTATATATCAGAATACGACACAAGCTATAATTTGTATACATATTTTTTTTATGTATATCTGTCTTCCTGTCAGAATGTTACGCCTTCAGCCGATTCTACGTAGACGTAGACGCGGGCAGCAACTAGTAAAAAATAAGCGAGAAATAATTAGTACAATAAGATTAATTTAACAGAAAGATAACTGAATAACAGAAAGATAACTGGAAATCATTAAAAAGATAACTGTATACATTTTCATTTTTTACTATTTTTAGTAATGTACATTTTAATTTTAAACGTTATACTTTTTCATATCACCCAAATACTCTTATAACTTTTCGCTTTGCTACGTTATGCAAATCCGGATTAAAGTGGCGATGAGGCTCTAAGGTAATCCAGCGGTACATCCTCCTCGACGAAATTTCGTAAAATTTGAATACGTTTCGTATATCACGAATCTGCATACGGTTGGTGGTAAATAAGAGGAACGCATATTGTTTTATTAAAAATATTTCCGAGAGCGCTGTTATTTACCTTTATATACTAACAGTTCAGGCAAAGAACTCAAGTTTTTACTTTCCATTTTTGGTACTGTTCATTAATTTATATAACGTGTTCTGTAATTTATGTTTCATTAAATTGATTATACAGTTACGTTATCAGTATTTTTTGTTTATTACAACATAATCATCTTCATTTTAGCCAGGTGAGGTCCACTGCTGAACATAGGCATTCCCAAAAGGCTGCCACGAAGCCCGATCCTGAGCCACCTGCATCCATCGACTCCACACTTGATATACGTCAGGTCTAGTGCGCGGTAGTGCTACAATGCGACGTGGCCATTCCAGAACCTCTATTCCCCACTATCGGTCTACGCGCTATATGTTTGCAGTTTACTTCTACTGAGCTATGTCGCTCAACTTTGTTCTACTGCGGATATCTGCAGAGTGTTATTTTTACCCTTTCACGAAATATCCATAGGTATGTATATTTGGGGTGTAAGGGCTTACATCTAAGGCCCGTCAACCTCACCTGCACGTGGTACATCCTGTTAATCTACGGACGGGGCTCTGGCGACCGAATCATGGCGGTATAACCATATAATATTGCTGAAATCTATAAGTATCAATCCTGAGTGCGGGCAGCAGCGCGGTCAGAGAAGGATTCCAGCAACTGCGGTCACCAACCCGCCTGCCAAGCGTGGTGACTAAGGCAGATTTCCCCTCAATGAAAACCAACTCGGATCTAAGGCCCCCAGTACCCGGTGGTTGCACTATTCCAGGCCACGGTACCGGTCATGGTAACGGTGCGACAGGGGGTGCTAAGAATCCCCGGGCTAAGGCAGGGTACCATAAGCGATTCTATCTGCCTACGTTTAACGGACGCTCTCTGTGGTTGAACGAACACCTGGCCGAACTGGAAGTAGAGCTAAGTCATATTAACTGGCACATAGTGGGTCTATCAGAAATCCGAAGACAGGGCGAGGATATGATGGCACTAGATGCTGGTCACTTGCTCTACTTCCGAGAAGGACATCAACTATCCCAAGGTGGAGTCGGATTTCTAATACACAAATCGCTCAGAAGCATCATTGTAGAGGTTGGCAGTGTGTCGGTTAGGGTAGCGTACCTCGTATTAAAGGTGAGCGAAAGATAATCCCTAAAAGTGATACAGGTTTACGCCCCAACTACTTCACATCCTGACGAAGACGTCGAAGCCATGTACGAGGACGTAGCAAAAGCTATGTTCCGTACCGAAACCTTCTACACTGTTGTTATGGGCGACTTTAATGCCAAAGTGGGAGTACGCGAGAATGGCGAATCGAGAGTAAGAGCATTTGACTATGGGACCAGAAATCACAGGCAAATGCTAGTAAACTTCCTCGAGGATTAGAGGCTATTTCTGATGAACTCCTACTACCAGAAAAAGAACCTCAGAGGAAGTGGACTTGGCTTAGCCTCGATAAGGTGACTAAAAATGAGATCGAATAGATTATGTCCAATATGCGCCATATATTCAGGGATGTCTCAGTGATCAATAGGGTAAATACCGGTAGTGATCACCGTCTTGTAAGAGGCACCCTGAATATAAATATCAAGATCGAACGTGCGCGTCTGGTGAAGGCGACTCTGACCATCACTGCCCCAGGTTGAAGCTGAATGTAAAAATTTTCAGCTAGAGCTAAAAAATCGATTCGCCTTGCTGGAAAACACGCAGGTCATTGACGACGCCACCAATAGTCTAACGCGGACCATCCGTGGAGTGGGAGAAAAATATTTTCGACCAAAGAGCACTGGACGAAAGTCGAAGCTCTCAAACGAGACTCTGGAGGAGATGAAGAAGAGACGAGAGGTGATATTTGCGACAGCTTCTGAGCGTCAGGTACTTAACAGAAAGGTTAAGAAACTGATAAGGCGAGATTGTAGACGAGCGAAGATCCAAGAGATTAAAAATCTTATATCGCGCAACGGGGGCTCAAAAGTCTTTGCTAAGTTCCAAACCTCCTGCTGTCATTTGTCAAAACTCACAACAACTCAGTCACCGTCAACCGTCACCGTCAACTAACCACCGTCACCTCTAAGCCAGAGATTCTCGCTGAAGTCGAAAAGTTTTATAGGGACCTATATACTTCCCAAGTACCTCCACCTCACTCCCAC